AGCTCATTGACGTGATCATCGAGGAGAAGGCGAGGTTGTTCGTCTGCGCGGTCGGCGTGCCCCCCAAGTGGGTCGTTGACAAGCTGCACGGTGCAGGTATCCCCATCATGAACGTAAGTACTCCGTGCGGGTTTTCTCTGCTCAGTGGCTTGATGTCCCCGCCACACGCAGATGGTCGGACACCCGAAGCACGTCACGAAGGCACTCGACGCCGGCGTCGATCTCATTTGCGCACAGGCAGGTGAGGGCGGAGGCCACACCGGCGACATCCCCGCGTCCATCCTCATCCCTGCATGCGTCGACATCTGCAAGACGCGCAAGTCACCCTTGACAGGCAAGCCCGTGTACGTCATTGGTGCCGGTGCCGTCTACGACGGCCGGGGGCTCGCTGCGAACCTCGCTTGGGGCGCGGAGGCAGTCTGGGTTGGCACGCGCTTCGTCGCGAGCACGGAGGCGGGTGCGCCTAAGGCGCACAAGGAGGCAGTCCTTAGCGCGGGCTACGAGGATGCCGTCACGACGCTCATCTACACCGGTCGTCCGCTGCGCGTGCGCAGGACACCTTACGTTGATGACTGGTACGTCGGGCTCGCTTCGCTGTATACCGCTGGGACAAGTCACTAACAGGCCGTGTTATGTACAGGAACAACAACCGCCAGGCTGAGATTAAGGAGCTGACGTCGAAGGGTATCCTTCCCATCGAGCACGATCTCAAAGAGCATCCTGAGAAGTCGCTGGAGGCCCGTGCGTGGCTCATCGGCCGCGTCGCGGCGCTCATCCACGAGGTTCTGCCTGCGAAGGTGATTGTGGAGAACATGGTCAACGACGCAGCGAAGATCATCCAGGGGAACGCGGCGAAGATCTCCGTCAAGGCTAAGCTATAGGGTTTTCATCATTATTGAGGTAGTTCAGGATTGTATACCATGACACACTACTTCTGGCGGCACTCGTTGGATGCGTGGCCGGGGAAGCGAGTCATAAGACATAGGAAGAGACAGAATCTGTTGACGTAGCAATATCTCCTTGGTATGGCCTACGCCTCGTCAACGGCTGGCGGCACCTTAAGCTCTAGCCTATAGCCTGTGAACGCGACGCAGGTGACACACTGAAAGGATACTTTGTCATTCGTATGCTTAGTATGGACGCGCTATCGGTCGATACACTACCTTCGACAGCGGCCGTTCGATGTCCGCACTCATTGTATGCATCGCACTGGCCTCTTACGATGAATAATTTTGGTCAGGTTCGCCTCTGGCTTATTTATCGCAGCAGCCTCCATTAGCCTCTATGTACGACTCTAGGACTGCATGCAGATACGGTACAGCAGGGTGTTTAGAGCAAGCTCGTCGCTCTGCGCGCGGAGCTTGCCCAAGGCGTCTATCATAGGCTCAATACTCAAGCTTGTCTTTGTACCACCACTGTTCAATCACCGGCACTCACCTACTGTATCCACGACGAACGAATCGCCACAGGCAACGGTCAGTAGCAGCCACAAAGAGCTTGAGAGCTTGCTAGCTAATTTCTTCAATTATTTCTAACTCCCCCCCTCCCCTCCTCCTCCAGGTCATCATGAATGGACATCCAATTCAGAGTGGCTCTGATAGCAAGGCTGCCAGCGCACTACCCAGCACGGCAGCGCCCCCATTCAACAAGGCATTTGCAGACACTGTCCTTCGAACATCTGATGGGGTAGACTTTCATGTTTGGAGGGGTGTCCTGATTGAAGCATCGCCGGTCTTGTCCGACATGTTCGCGCTTGGTGGAGAGTCTTCAACAACCTCCAAACCCGAGGCCGAGTCCTCCATATCCTCGGCATGCCATGCTACGACCGGGGCGGCTACCGTCATCCCCTTCCCCGAACTCAGCACCGTACTCGATCCTCTCCTTCGGACCTGCTATCCCCCACCCCACCCCACGTTTCCGTCCCTCGACTCGCTCAAACCCGTATTGGCCGCAGCGCACAAGTACCAGATGGAAGGCGTGCAGGAGTTGCTCACCAAGGAACTCCTTCAGCACGCACGCACGGCACCTCTCCGCGTGTACGTCGTCGCGGTGCGCTTCGACATGCAACACGCCGCCGAAGTGGCCGCTCGCCACTTCCTCGGTCTGAAGGTCGCGGACGACTACGTGCCCGAGCTGGAGGACCTGAGCGCTGGCTCCTACCACCGATTGCTTGCATACCGCAAGCGTTGCACCCAGACCCTCGCCGACATGATCTCCAGCAGGCTCTCGTGGTTGCCAGAGAGACAGCCTTTGTGGCAGTTCCTCGCCTGCAGATGCTCCCGCGAAGAGTTCACGGTGACACTGCAGGGCTCCGCTGACGTGCAGTACAATGTCGCGGTGTGGTTCTGGCAGCATTACCGCCGGATCGGCGTTCTTCTTGCGGAGCGACCTTGCCGTGCTGCGCTCGATGACCCGAAGCTGAACGACCGGGCCGTCATGGAAGGGTCAGAATGTGGATCTTGTAGGGCGCGAGTTCACGACGACTTGCATGCGTTCACTGCCTATCTCCTCGAGGAGATAGACCGTCGCCTAGCAGCTGTGAGTCGGATGAGAACGAAGCATACGATACGCGTCTCACTTTTTTTGTAGATACCACTTCCGACTGCGTAGTCGTCATCAGAGGTGGCTTGGCGATGGGGAAGGCGGCGGAGGTCAGTTCGATCCACGGAAGGAGGCTTCGCAGTTGCGTCGTGATGCAGTGAGGTTGTCCGCGCAGGCGGCTGCCTTGCAGATCGACATGCCTCTGGGAGAGAAGGTGCTGAGAAAGTCATTGTACTGCAACCTTCCCTGGTACTACTTGGATGAATGTAAGTTTGACCGTGAAGACTGATCCAGCACGTCGAGAGGACGACTAGCTGAACCCGACTGTGTTGCCGGGCGTCGCGTTCATCGTATGGTATTGTGAGGGTGTAGACTCGGGCCAGGGGAGGGAACCACTGTAGACGAATACTATGGTTCAGGCGAGATTCGGGTTGCAAACCAGCATGAGAAGCTGATGTCGTGCCCCCAACCACTCCACCTGTCGCTATCATCTCGCCATCGGTAATAGAACTCCGGTACTTAGCCAGGGATGGTCTTTACAGGACAGAAAAGGGAGCGCTGGCACTCGACGCAAGCCATTGCGCGCTCAGGATGTCGCAGGAACGAACTGGGCAGTAGGTGTCAACTGCCATTGGGTAGTAGGAGGTAGTAGTAATATTTGGGCGATCAAGGTGACGATAGAGATGGAATGCAGCCATCACATCGACCTGCGGGAACCCAGCTGTACAGGCCTACGCTCCTTTCCATATCTATCGATGTCGAGCGGATTTGTCGCCGGCGTGGAGCCTTGCTGGGGGATTGAGCTCGGTCCTGCCCGCCTGCTTTGCTGTGAGGGGCAGTCCGAAGAGAAGTTCCGCCCCAGCGGGGCTCGCCACGGGGAGGTCGGTACGGGATCGTCCATCGCCGCGTGAGACGTGGCAGGTTCGTCGTCGTCGTCTACTGACCGTTTGCGTTTGCCCGCCGGAGTCGACGGGACTTCGGGCGCGTTCAGTAGGCGGGAATCCTCATCATCGACAGACTGCTGATTAGTGAGCTGAGTGACGGTTTCGAGAGGTCGGAAGGCCTACATGAAGCGGATCTGGCGATGGAGAGAGGACCCGCAGCTCCGAATCCTCAGGGTTGAGCGCATCGGCGGAATGGCGTTGAGGGGGCAGCAATCTGGGCCTGCGCCTTCGTCTCCTGCCGCAATTTCTGGATTATCGCTTTATGCTTTCGTTCCTGCAAAACGGTGGGAATGAGGAGGAGAGACCCTCTACATGAACTTTCATAGTATGAAAGTTCGCACCCTTGCCTCGAGCACATGCAATTGGTCGTGCAGCGTCTTCATTGCTTCAACTCTCTGCGCCAGCTCCGCCATGTGCCTCTCCGATTGGCGAACCATGTCTTCTTCGAGTGTAGCCAGGCGAGTATTTGTTTCCTGAAGCGTCGGCAGCAATTGCTCGGAAGCCCCAAGAGCCTTATCCGCGGTCTGCTCGGCCTTCGTAACGTTGGTCTCAGCTTCCTTCAGCTGTGCTCGCAGGTCCGCTATCTTCTTAAGTTGCGCCGCGTTCGTGCTGAAGAGCGGGAGCATCCCCCGCCAGTTGCCAGCAACCGTGGAGAGTAGTAGACCCTTTAGAAGTGGTTGATAAGTCGCGCCTACGTTCGCGGGTGGACTGAACATCGTACGTACCAGCAGGCAGTCGCCACCATCCTCCAACCCCGCCACCTTTTCAAGTGTCTCCGCTGCGCGCTGCACCGTATGCGGCCCGCGATCATCCTCGACGCTTCTCACCTCCCTGATAGCTGACGCGACCTTGAGGTGAAACGCGCGTATATGACACACGGTTCCGCTACTCTCAGTGGCATCCTGGGTATCAATATCGCCGTTCACAAGGAATATCCTGTGCGGCTGGTAGGCCTCGAAGGGCGCAGAACAACAAGGACAGTTGTATTCGTCGCGTTTCGGCGTCTTGTACGACTCGATGCATGGTGCGCAGATGGTATGACCTACGAGACCAATGTTGAGCAGTAATACATTCGTTTCAGCACAAGCCGCTGACCATACCGCAAGGCAAAGAACGAAGATCAGCGATAGCATAGTTCCCTAAACATATGATGCACAGGTACTCTGCCGACGACATGGGTGCGAGGAGAGGACAATAATCAGCTGAAAAGCACAGTTTATGCTGAGCATAGAGTCGCCAGAAAACCAACAGGGTCCTTATAGAGGCTCGTCCACTGTCCAGGTTAGTGGTGGTGGTGAGGAGTAGGAGATGCGCGCACCGCGGATCGACAGCGGACCGCGGCGGACCTACGCGGACACGCTTGCCGCAAACCTCACGTGATCGCGACACCTTGTCATGCGAATCTTGTCAAAAGTGCAGAACAGGACGTCGTGGACAAGGAAAAAGGAAAGTACGACATGAAAGGCCAATAATTGTCGTGTAGTTGCTCAGTGGCCATCCATGAGGCGCCAAAAATGACCACCGCAGGGGTCGAACCTGCAATCTCCTGATTACAATGATACCAACTTATCGTAGTCAGACGCGTTGCCATTACGCCAGGCGGCCATGTCAGTCTCGAAATGCAGCGCTATAGGTGGTTACTTCAAAACACCTTCACCTCGAGCGAGTAAGTCTGCTGTCCTCCAGGAGTCCTCCTCCTCGCACTCAAGCCGGGATGAGATGTTGCGTTGCTTCTCCGTTCGTGTTTCGCAGCGATGCATGCGGCCAGCATCTACCCGCAATGTCTCGCTGAACCTTCGCGAGGTTCGCCCTCCTGCAGTCTGGACTCGCAGACTCCCAAGTAGCTTTCGCACTCCTCGTCCACTCCATACCACCGCTCTGCTACGGTCCTCGACCCCTTCGCCTCCGCCTCCCAAGCATGAAACGCCACCGCAACAGCCCCCAGTCCGCGACAACATATACACGGTCCCCAACCTCCTCACCGTCTCGCGCATAATCGCCTGCCCCGTCCTCGGCCTCGCTATCGTTAACGACAACTTCTATCTCGCGACCGGACTGTTGGTGTACGCTGGCCTCACGGATCTGGTCTGCCTCCCTTCTCTGCGTGCCCCCTGATCGTCCGCTTGAGCTCGTTTTTCTTGTTGTTGTGTCTGGCCAGGTCGATGGGTACCTCGCGCGCAGGTTCAACATGCAGTCCGTCGTGGGCACCATCCTCGACCCGGCGGCGGACAAGATCCTCATGACGACGTTGACGGTGACGCTCGCGATGAAGGATCTCATCCCCGGTGCGTGGGTCTTGCATATAACGAGAGGAATTGGCGTTCATGCCACAGCAGTCCCCCTCGCGGCCATCATCCTGGGACGCGATGTCATCCTCAGTCTTACCGCGTTTTATATCCGCTACACATCACTGCCGCCTCCGGTAAGCTCTGCTCTTGTACCTATCGTTCGGTCACGTGACCATGCATACAGAAAACATTCACTCGGTATTGGGATTTCTCCATCCCGTCTGCTGAGGTGCGGCCTACGACGATCAGCAAGGTGGGACACATGCACGTTTACGTCAACGACGCATTCACTGACTTTGGCGAGAGCAGGTCAACACGGCTTTGCAGCTCCTGCTCATGGGCACCGCGACAGTCAGCCCGATCCTCCCAGTTGACATCGGCGTCCCGCTGCAAGCACTGCAGTGCGTACTCAGCGTTCAAGCCATATCACTCAATACTCACGAATGAACAGGTGGATTGTTGCGGGTACGACGATCTGGAGCGGCGCATCGTACCTCTTTGCACGAGACGGCTTCCGCATCGTGTCCTCTGTACCCAAGGGGCGCCCTCCCACTCCTCCCACCCCTCCCCCACCACCCTCCACATAAGTCGCACTCACCCTATCGATATGCTTTCGCACTCCCCCGCACCCGCATCCGGACAATTGATCGTATCCACGAGACTATGGCATACCGCATGGTCGTAATGTAATCATTTACAGGCTCGAACCCTAACATAGATGGACATACCGCTACAAGAGACGTCAGTCGCGCCAACAACGGATCGGGAATATACACAAGAACGAACGCAACCACAGAAGGAATAACAATACAGCATCCATTTCCAACATCCGGCGTGCAACGTGCAACGTGCAACACACACCGGCACTGCTACGTCTTCGCCGCAGTCCGAGAAGAGGAAGGCTTCGAAGGCCCTGCGGTCGCGCTGCTGGGTGCGACCCGGCGTTTCCGGACTTCTTGCAGGGCGGCTTCGATGGCAGGCTTTGCGGCGCGCTGTTGCTTCCACTGTTCGCTCGCACGTCTGCGAAGCCATGTCAGTGTCAGATTCGCACACAGAGACGGGCAGTGCAAGAAGAGAACGCACCTGGCGCGGTGGAGGAACAAGACCGAGTATGCGACGGTCCGCAGCGTACGCTTCTTCGCCGGTGCGGGTGAAGGGAACCCAATGCGTGCGACGGCTGCCAGGATCTTCTCCTCGCTGCAAAGCAATCAGCAACGATGCCACCGGTGTTGGATTGCTATATCACTCACTTCCGCTCCAGACGAGTCATCAGGACGAGCAGGTACTGTTTCTGGTACCCGAGATCGCAACGGAAAGTCGATTCGCGCGTGAACTTCGCCTTCAAGTACCGGATCTGCAACATGAGGCCCTTGCACTCCTGGTTGTGCTGCTGCTTGAGCGTAACGAGCTGCTGGCCGTCCCTATAATGGTAATCGTGAATCGTTCGTCAGCATGGTTCATCGCAGCAGAACGACGCCAGGAACACTCACGCAGCGCACACATGGCCCTTCCACGCGTCCTTCGCCTCCCTCGCCTTCTCCTTCTGCCCATCGAGCTCCTCCTTGAGCACGCGGATCTGCGCCTGCGCCTGCTTCTGTGCCCGCTCGAGCTTAGTCCGCTCATCCCGCCGCTCCTCCTCCATCCGGTCCTTCTGCGCGCGGAGCGCCTTCAGGTCGCGCCCGAAGGCCTCGGCGTCGCGGCGGACACGGCGGAGGTCGGCCTCCAGCGCAGCGACGGTGCGAGCGACGTCCCCCTTCTCTGAGGCCATGCGTTCCTTCTCCGCCTCGACACGCTCGAGCTCGGACGCCTGGTTAGAGAGGGCTTTCCGGAGGTCTTCGATCTCCAGTATACGCATGTCGAGTTCGTGGCGCCGGCTGTCGTGTGAAGTGTGCGACACGGCGAACTCGCTCTTGAGGCGGTTGACCTCCTACGAAGCCACATCAGCACCACACGTCATCGCTTTAGCTAATTTCAAGACGAACCTCTGCGGCTTTGGAGTATCGGCGCTGAAGCTCCTTGTGGTCAGCAGCAAGTAACGAGCGCTCTTGACGGAGCTGCTCAATGCTCCCCATGTTCTCGGCGACCTTGGCTTCGAGCAACCGGGCTTTCTGCTCTGCGTTGGCGTTGCTGCGCAGTTCTCGTTCAAGCTCGTGGTTCTCCTGCTTGAACTGCTGGAGCTGCTGTCTGATGTCGGACATGTCCTGTATCAATCCGTGATCAGCGAGCCCAGATATGCTATCAACAGTATATCGTATACGTACGGATTCTGTCCGACGCAGATCGAGGAGGACGGCCTCCTTCTCGCGCTGGGCCTTGGCCTGATCTGTCATGAGCGCACGGAGACGACTGCGTTCGGCCTTCAGTTCGGCCTCAAGTTCCTCCATCGTGCGTTTGGCTCTGGCGAGCTCCTACCACAGCATATTAGCCATCTTCGGGACAATCAATACGAGGCACTCAATACTCACCCCTTCGATACCGGCACGCGCTCTCTCGCCGGCACGCTCGGCCTTCCGAAGCTCGTCTTTGACGTCGCGAACCTGGGCATTCAGCCTTGTAGCAGCATCCTGAAGCACAGCGTTGTCACCGAGAAGCTGCCGCCGCTCGTCTTCCCAACTCCGCCTCATGGTGTCTAGTTGAGCATTGACCTCCTGGAGCTCGGCGCGCAATGCCTCGCTGGTGCGCGTTGGCGGTGTCGGAGGCTCTGCAGGAAGGCTCATCATAGAGGCCTCGAGGATGGAGCTATCATGTGGGAGTCAGTTGCCGATGACGGGGCTCGCGCGAGTGGAACTCACCTCTCGTCGCCCTCGCCGGTGCTGTCGAGTCCGCGCATGTCGATCTTGGTCCGACACTTGGTGCACCGGAGGCGTTGCAGGCGGCGGACACGACGTTCCTCCCTCCGCGACGTCCGAGCTAGCTCGTCTTCAAGGTACACGATCTCGTTGCGAGCGTCTTCAAGCTGCTTCGTGACATCGACTACGCCGAAACCAGCGTCTTCGAGACGGTCGAGTTTATCATCGATGCTTGCATTCGCACGGTCGAGTTCTTGCTGCAATCTTGCGAGCTCTACCACCAAGGGAGCGACGGAAGGATCGTTCATGCTGTTCTGCAACCAAGAGAGCTACGCCGAATTGTCAACATCATCCATGCCGCCGAAAGGGAAGCACTTACATCTCTGAGAGGACCACCGGGAGTCTTGGGACTTTTGAGGGACATGTTGAGGAGCTGTCGGTGCAATGGCGACATACCGCTGACGTTGCCACCCTTGCCGGGAGTACCGAAGATACCGCTCTGGTTCCTCATCGACTTCAGTCTCTCCAGCAGGTCCTCCCTCTCCTTCTCCAGCAAGTCGATCCTGGCATCCTTCGCTCTCTCGATCGCCTTGCGAGCAGGGGACTGGGCAAGGACTGTCCTGAGGCGAGCGATCTCCCTGTTGGCGTCGTCGAGCTCCGACTCCAAAGCCTCCACTTCTGCCTGCAAGTCGCGCGCAAGGACGCTCTGAGAAGGGCCTGCCTGAAGCATGGATCGTTCGTGTAGCCTGTCAGCAGCGCGTTCCATCGAGGCGACGGTGGATTTGAGCGTGGCCACTTCCTGCTCGTCCTCGAGCATCTTCTTCTCCGCTGCCTCCAAGGCATCCTCCATCTGCCGTGCCAGTTCAGACGCCTTGTCCGCATCGTCCGCAAGGTGATCGTTCTCCTGCCTCTCCTCCTCAAGCTCAGCCTCCAGGCCGTGAATGCTCTCCTGGGCAGCAGCGAGCTGCCGCTCGAGGTCTTTGATGCGCCCTTCGTCTGCTGCAGCGTCGCCCTCGTTCTGAGTGACCGCCTCCTCAGCTTGACGGAGTTGCGCCCTCATCTTGCGGACCTCCTCCTCGAGCTCGTCCACGCAGTGCACAGTCTTGGTCAGCTCCTCCATCTTGGTGCGCAACTCCTCGTCCAGGGCAGCCGTACGCTTCCGCTCCACGGCAAGATTGCTCTCTGTCTCATCGAGTCGCTGGTGCGCGTGCATGAGCTCGCCCTCGAGCTCCTTGATTTCGCGATGGGTGTTCTGCAAGTCGCCCTCGGTCTTGGCGAGCCGCTTGTTGGCCTCATTGAGCTCTGCACCGAGCTCGCGGCCATTCTCGAGAGCACCTTCCGCCTTCTTGATTCGCTCGGCGAGGACATTCTTCTCGACCATCACCACGGCCAATCGGCGTTCCGCGTCCTTGATGCCCTCCGCCTTGTCGGCCTCCGCACGCTTCGCAGCCTCTTCAGCCTCGACCAGCCGTCTCTCCAGGTCGGTGACGATGCCTTCCACACCCTTCTCGACCTCGACCATGCGCTC